GAGAGGAGAGAGTGAGAGATGAGAGAGGAGAGAGAGAGAGAGAGAGAGGAGAGAAGGAGGAGAGAGGAGAGAGAGAGAGAGAAAGGTAATTTCATTTTTTCACGTTGTTCTTTTATTGTTATTTTAATTGTATTTCATAATATCAACATTGTCATCATCATTATCATTACCATCATTACTCATTGCTATAATCATTATAATGATAATCAATCATTATTGTTATTATTATCATCATTATTACTATCATTACTATTCTTATCACTTCCATCTTCATCTTCATTATTATACTTATTGAAATTATTATAATGATAATGATTATTGTTACTGTTACTATTATTACTCTCCACAAACACACAATGAGCTATTTTAGGAGGATTTAAAGCTGTAACCGGACCTGCGTAGGAGTAATTCAGTAAAATGTTTTACAAACTGTAAATGAATGGCAAACAAAATCTTGGGGGGGGGGGTCATGGGGGTAGCAGTTACATCCCCCCTGAATTAACGACCCTAATGACAATAATGGTTACACTGGTGTTCGTGGCAAAAAAAAAAAAGCAGTTGGCAGCAGCAATAACTATAATAGCATGGAATAGATAACAGAATGGAAGGGATAGATATCGTATATAAACCCATTTTCTCAGGGGCTGCAAATAACGGGATCGTAGTTCGACATCGCAGGTGGTGGAGTGTGAGGCTCGAGTGAACTTTTGGAAAAGTTTACAGGTGTTCATTGCACTTCTTCCTGCTTGGCGTTTTATGGGCGTTCTATGCTGAGATAACGACCTCCTCTCGAGGTCAAAAGGTTAGGATGGTGGTAGCATCTAATAAAATCGTTATGTTGGTCCTGGTTGGTAGACTCGGCAGATGGTTTTACTTTAACTGTAACTGTTTTAATATTGTGATATATGTATCAAGTGTATTAAATTCAATGATCGTTTCATTTGAATTGATAAAAAATTGAGAACCTGGTAAGGATATTAAGTACATACAGTACACACACACACATACTCATACACAACAGGTTATTTTAAGAATTTCGACTGATGACTCGGACTAAATTATGGCTTTGTATAAGTAATGTCGCTAAACACAATATATATATATATATATATATATATATATATATATATATTATATATATATATATATATATTATATATTATATATATATATATTTAAATCAAAATGAATGAGAACCATAATTCCAGTAACTTTCAATTAAGTATTGAATTTCCCACTGTTTAATTTTCTCTCGATTACAAGAAAAGACATTTAACAACCATACATTACGGTGACACAAAAAATAACGGTTAGTAATTCAAATAAAACCGTTTAAATCAACTATAGAGATTATCCATAAGCCTTAAAGTAAATATCAGATTGTGATACTTGCTGGGGGGGGGGGGGTGATTCCTAGTATGGTATTAACAGATTTTTCTTGGTGTTTTTAGTAATAATACTTATAACAACAGTAACAGTGACATCAATAACAGTAATACTAATAATGATAAAACTGGTAAAGATATGATAATGATAATCATAATGATACTTATAACAATAAGCACTCAGAGTACATACCTCCGTGAAGACACTATATGTAATAAAAATATTCGCACTTGAAGAATTTCATTAAAATCACCTCTTTCTCAAGTACATTGGTGACGTATGCGTTTCCCTATCTCCCAATTTTAATGAATCCTTTTAATAAAATCAGGATTCGGATGATGATTCGGATCATCACTAAACTTTAATCTCATTTAGGTTGGGCTAAGACACACTTCCGGTAAAGATTTGATAAAAAAATCTGATTTATAACTTTTTTACAAACCAAAATTCCTGGACTCGAATCATGAACCGGGCAAACCACCAAAATTTAATGGTATATGTTATGTTAAGTCATACTTGCGGTAAAAGTAAATCATAAAAAATCTGCTAATAAATTTTTGAATTATCCTGATAACCAACTAATTAACAAACTAATTAACGCTATCAAAAACATAATCTTGGTGGAGGTAATGATTATAATAATGGTACTTATGGTAACAATGATGATAATAACTTTAGTTTTGATAAGAGTAATGAAAATGATAAACCTTATTACTATCATTATTATTATAATCATCCTCACAATCATTATTATCATTTTTATTATAGTCATTCTCGTTATCATATTTTTCACCATTCCTTTAAAAAAATACTTATTTTTGTAATGTAACGAACAATCATCTTCTGTTGTAAGAATGATATTTAATAGTTTCTAACTTAATCCTAATCAGTTTCATATAGAAAAACGTTTCCATTTGCAGATGAAATATATAATACGAATAGATAATAAGATAAAAGTCAATGTGATCTTTGACAGATAAGCGTCTAGTTTGATATCATAACTTTTATGTCGTCATGGCATTAAGGTTAAATTTATCTTCTTAATTGGCTCGCTATATAAGGAAAATACTGAACTATTATAGATCGCACTTATGGTAGAAAATAACACACCGTAGCGACGAAAAAGTATGGATTTCAGTCTTTTGTTTTCATTATTTTTTATATCGTTCCTTATTGTTATTATTATTATTATTTACTCCCCTCCATGTTATATTCCCCTCCTTCATCGATTATTTCTTTTATATTTTATATCTAATTTTATATTTCCTCCTTCTCTTTTTTCCCTTTTCCCCTGCTTTGCTTCTCCAATCTCCCACATTCTCCCTCACCTCCCTCCCCCATCTCTCCATCCTCCTATTTTCCCTCTCTCCCAGTCCTTCCCTTCCTCTCATACCTCCTAAATCCACCCTTTTTCCTCCTACCTCCTCCTCCTCCTCCTCCCTCCCCACCCTTCGTCTCTCTCCTCCCTCCCTCCCACCTTCGTCTCCCTCCCTCCCTCCCTCCTTTCTTTCCCTCAGCTCAAACTATAGCTAATTAGCCCCGGATCTACCTGGGGATGCTGAACAGGTAAGAGATGGAACGGATGAGGAGGAAATCTTAGCAGACGTGCCACCGGACATCATTAATGCGGCTGAAAGAGAAGGGTGGATAGCGAAGTCTGCTATATATATATATATGCGTGCGTGTTTGTGTATGTTTGTATGCACGTGGAATATTATCTAATCTCTGTTCAGTAATCTTTTTTTTTTTATATGATATTCACATTTCGAGCGAATATGAGAATAAGAGCGCACTCGCAAGATAACTAGAGACAGATAGATAGTAAGGTGAATAGGAAACATACGCACACACATATATACACGTGTTTATACACAACACATATTACACGCGTTTACACACACACACACACACACAACACCACATAAAATATTATATATATATAATATATATATATATATATATATATATATTATATATATATATATATAATACTTCGTCAGGTCAGGGCATACATACATATACGTATGTATGCCCTGACGAAGCATTAGCGAAAAGGCCTTCGGTATTTCGTGTGTTTTCTTGCCCTTCTCTTCGTTGTTCCTGTTGCATATATACATACACATACACACACACACACACACACACACACACACACACAACACACACACACACATATATATATATATATATATATATATATATATAATATATATATATATATATATATTATATATATTTATATATTATAACATATCAAGTATACATATGTATAAATATCATGTTTATATCATACATATGTATACATTAATATTATATATATAATATATATATATATATATATATATATATATATATTATAATATATATATATATTATTATATACTTGTACGCACACACAATAAATTATATATATATATATATATATATATATATATATATATATATATATATACATATATATATATATATATATATATATATATATATATATATCGTACACATATCATATATACATTACACACACACATATATAACAAACTAACAAGCGAACAGAGTATTTGCGATAATATAATTCCACTGTAAAGAGCTGTGTGACTGTGCTCTTGTTTCACCGAGGCTTCATCTTGTGTATCCGTAAAGACGCGGCGACGAGGAGGCCAAACCTGCTGGTAAAGGTTAACAAAGGAGATCTATACCTTTTTTCCCGACGAGGTTGTGGGGTTTCGTGTTGGGGAGACGATGCCCGGGCGAAGCATTCCCATTAAAGGCCCTATCACACTAGCACTTTTTCCGTCATTTTTTTTTTTTTTTGCGTTTCCGAATGAAAATCATGTAAACAAACATGGCGCTGTCGGAGTGAGGTCCCGGGAATCACACGAACATTCTCATACATATTACGTTATTTTAAAGAAATATGATGATGTATATTGTATATACGAATGTTCTAAAATATTAGCTTGTGTTTACATTCACTCATCCATCTAATTTATTAATAGCACAAGATCAACACGGAAATTAGTCAGACGGAAACGGTCGTAACCGTCTTGGTCTGTGAGGCGTTCCGGTTGTGGACGATCCTTGCGGAAAGCCTCAAATTCAGACGGAACCCCAGAAATTGACGGAAAAAGTGCTAGTGTGATAGGGCCTTAAGGTGCCTCGGTACTGTGTTTTCTCGAAGGGAGGGGGAGAGGGGAGAGGGGAGAGGAGGTACTCCTGTATCCACGCTGAGGATGTTCGATACAAGTGCAATCCAGGGTTCCAACACACGCAAACAGGCATTCTGCGCCGCATCCAAACCTTTCAAAGCTGAGGTTGCTTGATGGAGTTTGATTGGGTGGCATTTTCATGTAACAAATCCCACTTAATGGTTGTTTAACTTTTGCCTCGTCTGATCGTTGGCTTAAATGCATAATTAGCGCGATAACCGGACTTTTTCTTTTTTTCTTTTCTTTGCACTCTATTCCTTTGTCTCTTTATCTCTATCTCTATTATCTCGGTGTCTATGTGTCTGTCTTTCTGTCAGTTTCCCTCGTTCTCGCTCTTTTTGTCCGATTTTTATCAGATATCTTAACTAGCGTCATCACATACTGCTGGAAATAACAAAAACGAAAGAGCACATTGCTGAATCGAGTTTATTGTTCCAATTTTGATACAAATATTCTTAAATTAAAAAGTACATACGTTCTAAAATAACAGTTAGCGTACATTTAAAATAACCTAAAAAAACTGATCTCTCAATCACTTTCTCTGGTATCTCCATTCATAATTTTATTTTCGTTTAATTTTTCCCTCTCTCTATCTCTTTTCTTTCCTCTGACCTCTTCACTCGAGTTCAGGGTAGGGACAGCTGACCTCGCTCGGGGGTCGACAGGTGAGCGTCTCGAGGTCAAAGCGGTACCCATCGTGGCAGCCGGACCTAGGAATGGGTAGGAAGAGGTGGAGCTAATATTATTATATTTTATTCCATTATTGATTATCTATAACTTAGGTCCTAATATGCTTAACTTTTTCTCTCTTGCTATGTCAAAGTATTTTCCCATTCATCAGTCTCTCTCTCTCTCTCTTTCTCTCTCTCTCTCTCTCTCTCTCTCTCTCTCTCTCTCTCTCTCTCTCTATATATATATATATATAATATAAATTTACATATATGTTTGTACATTTTTTCACCTTCGCCTGGTCTCTCCCTCCCATTCGGATATTCATGATAATGACAATAAAAAGAACGACATCGAAAATAAAGACAATAATGACAAGAACAACCACAGCAAAGGTTAAAAAATAAATAAACAAATAAAGAAGACAAAAAAAAGAAAAAAAAAAAAGAGAGAGAGAAAAAACAAAACAAAACAGAACCCCCAACTCACATGGTCTTTTCGCCATCCTTGCAATTGTAGTACACTTGGCAGTCCCTGTAGTAGTCGACGAAGACACCGTCCTCCTGGCACTCGAAGATAGGGGGCTGTCCATGTCCATGGGCGGCGACGTATGCGGTCATGACTGTGTGGAGGAAGGGAGAGGAGAGTGAGAAATTGGGTCGAGACTGTGGAAGAAAGTGGGAAATTGGGACGAAATCGTGGAAGAAAATGGGAAATTGGGACGAAACTGTGGAAGAAAATGGAAAATTGTGCCGAGACTGTGGAAGAAAATGGGAAATTGTGCAGACTGTGGAAGAAAATGGGAAATTGGGTCGAGACTGAAAGAAAATGGGAAATTATGCCGACACTGTAGAGGAAAATGGGAAATTGAGCCGAGCTGTGGAAGAAAATGGGAAATTGGGCCGAGACTAAAAGAAAATGGGAAATTGAGCCGAGCTGTGGAAGAAAATGGGAAATTGGGCCTAGACTCTGTGCAAGATGAAATTGAGAAATTGACCTGAGATTATGTGGAAAAGGAAACCGCAAAATAAGACCTAGACTGTGTGGAAGAGGAAAGAGAAATATTTGGCCGATACTGTGTGGTAGAGGAAAGTGAAAATTGTTCTTAAGAGAAAATATAGCGAAGATGTCATAGGTTGTGGGTCAAGTGTAGGTAATCGAGATCGGTGGAAGGTTATGACTATCTTATAATTAAATAACTTAGGTCACTTTACGTCATTATTTAATTACAAACTTGGAATATGATAGCATAAAGTGAAAAAAAATGAGGGTATGCGTATTTCCAAAGAGGATCTCATAGCAGTTACGGTTATTAAATATTTTGTTAATTTTAACAATCATGTGTAACATAAATATCGTTATTTTGACTTAAATGCACTACACTCATGATATAGAGTGCATTAAAGTGAATTTATCGATGATTAGGTGATCAATGACGGTTAAACAGACAAAACATTTAAAAGACGTTAGTACTCCTTCCTAATATTTTGATATATCGGAATAATAATAACAGTAATGATCACAATGAAGATGAGGATGATAATAACAGCTGTATTCTCACCGGCCAAAGCCACAAGTAGAAGAAGGCGAGACATGGCGAAGTTGCAGCGAAATCTTTCCTCTGTCGTGTCTCGAGAGCGAATGCTGTCTCTTGCCCTCCTGTCGGTCTTATATACAAAGATCTACTTAAAAAATCCACCGGTTTACAACAGGTAGAAACCACATTATTATTTTTTTTTTTACATATGACGCAAGTTTTCTTTTTTTTCCTTCTAATCTTGTTCTTTTATCTATGTTGTGTGCTTCCTTGTATTATTTTTTATAAGCATTTTCAAATCCGCGTTCGAATTTCCCGCCGCCATAAAATTGGAACGGATGTGGTTCACCTTTTTTTTCTTTTTTCTTTTTTTTTCTCGTTTATCTTTGTTTGTGATATGCCTGTTGTTTGGGTAATCATATATTATCTCTCGGATGTTTTTTTTTATCTCTCTCTCATATCCAGGGCAGGAGTTATCAACTAGGACAGTGTGTTTTGGCTTTTCCGAACACTCATCGTCTAAATTTAGAATAGGATCTCTCTGCCTCCCTTCCTTTCTCTTGTTATTGTCATTATCTTCATCATCAATGTTATTATCTTTGTTATTTTTATTGTAATAATTGCTATCATAATTCTTATTATGATTGATAGTATAGTATTATTATTACTATCGTTATTATTGATATTATCATTATTATCATGATTTTGGATACTAAATTTATGATTATTTACCACTATCATCGTTATTATTGATATAAATATATACATTTTTATTTTATCTTATTTTGGGGAGGTTACGAAGAAAGGAAGGAGGGGAAAGGGGAAGAAAGAAGAGAGGGAAGGAGGGAGAAAGGGAGGGATAGGAGACTTAGGAAGCGGGAGGGAGAAAGGGAGGAGGGAGGGAGAAGGGAGAGAGAGCACAGAGAAAATAGGGAATGGGGCAGTGAAGGGAGGGGATAAGGGAACAGAAGAGGTGAAGGAAGAAGAAGGAAGAGGAAATAGGAGAGGATGGATGTATGGGTGAAAGTGGGAGAGGAGGAACGAAATTATAGAAGATTTTGGGGTGAGAGAGGGAGGCAGAACGGGAAAAGGAATGAAAAGAGGTAGAAACGGAGAGATAAAGGGAAAGGAAAAGAAAGGGGAGGCGAAAGGTAGAAAGAGGAAAGTGAAAGAGGGAGAACCTTTTTTTATTTTAATTTTTTATCTTTTTATTATTATTTTTTTTTAATTCCGTGGATCTGCTAGTTATTATTATCATTACTAGTATTTTTATTATCATGATTATTATTTGATCAGCATCATTATCATTATCATCACCACTATCATTATCATTATTATTATCATAATTGTCATTATAATCATCATAAGAGAGGTGGAGAGGAAGGGGAGGAAGGGGAGGTGGAGAGGAGGGGGAAGAGGGGAAGAGGGGAGGAAGGTGAGGAGGAGGTGAAGGAAGGGAGGGGAGGTGAGGAGGGGGAGGAAGATGGGGAGGAGAGGAAGGGGAGGAGAGGAGAGGAAAGGAGGTGGAGAGGAAGGAGAGGTGAGGAGGAAGGTAAGGTAAGGAGGAGGAGGGAGAGGAAGGTGAGGCAGGTGAGGAGGAGGAAAGAGAAGGGAGGAGAGGTGTGAGGAGTTGGGGGAAAAGGGAAGCTCAGCACCGGATTACACGGAATCAACCCGTGTTCAGCACCTTTGAGCGCGCTGACTGATTTCCCTCGGGGTTATTTTCGCTATTTTCGCCGCCCAGGAACGGGGAAGCAGGACCGCCCTCGCTAAGACGGGAAGCAGGGACGCCCTTCTCTCGCTAAGACGGGAAGCAGGACCGCCCTCTCGCTAAGACGGGAAGCAGGACCGCCCTCTCTCTCGCTAAGACGGGAAGCAGGACCGCCCTCTCTCGCTAAGACGGGAAGCAGGACCGCCCCTCTCTCGCTAAGCGGGAAGCAGGACCGCCCTCTCGCTAAGACGGGAAGCAGGACCGCCCTGTCTCGCTAAGACGGGGAAGCAGGACCGGCCCTCTCTCGCTAAGACGGGAAGCAGGACCGGCCCTCTCTCGCTAAGACGGGAAGCAGGGACCGGCCCTCTCTCGCTAAGACGGGAAGCAGGGACCGGCCCTCTCTCGCTAAGACGGGGAAGCAGGACCGGCCTCTCTCGCTAAGACGGGAAGCAGGACCGCCCTCTCGCTAAGACGGGAAGCAGGACCGCCCTCTCTCGCTAAGGCGGGAAGCAGGACCCTCTCGCTAAGACGGGAAGCAGGGACCGGCCTCTCGCTAAGACGGGAAGCAGGGCCGCCCTCTCTCGCTAAGACGGGAAGCAGGACCGCCCTCTCTCGCTAAGACGGGAAGCAGGACCGGCCTCTCTCGCTAAGACGGGAAGCAGGACCGGCCTCTCTCGCTAAGACGGGAAGCAGGACCGGCCTCGCTAAGACGGGAAAGCAGGACCGGCCTCTCGCTAAGACGGGAAGCAGGGACCGCCCTCTCGCTAAGACGGGAAAGCAGGACCGCCCTCTCTCGCTAAGACGGGAAGCAGGGACCGCCCTCTCGCTAAGACGGAAGCAGGACCGCCCTCTCGCTAAGACAGGAAGCAGGACCGCCCTCTCTCGCTAAGACGGGAAGCAGGGACCGCTCTCTCGCTAAGACAGGACCGCCCTCTCTCGCTAAGACGGGAAGCAGGGACCGCCCTCTCGCTAAGACGGGAAGCAGGACCGCCCTCTCGCTAAGACAGGAAGCAGGACCGCCCTCTCTCGCTAAGACGGGAAGCAGGGACCGCCCTCTCTCGCTAAGACGGGAAGCAGGGACCGCCCTCTCTCGCTAAGACGGGAAGCAGGGACCGCCCTCTCTCGCTAAGACGGGAAGCAGGACCGCCCTCTCGCTAAGACGGGAAGCAGGACCGGCCTCTCGCTAAGACGGGAAGCAGGGACCGCCCTCTCTCGCTAAGACGGGAAGCAGGGACCGCCCTCTCTCGCTAAGACGGGAAGCAGGGCCGCCCTCTCTCGCTAAGACGGGAAGCAGGACCGCCCTCTCGCTAAGACGGGAAGCAGGACCGGCCTCTCGCTAAGACGGAAAGCGGGACCGGCCCTCTCTCGCTAAGACGGGAAGCAGGACCGGCCTCTCTCGCTAAGACGGGAAGCAGGGACCGCCCTCTCTCGCTAAGACGGGAAGCAGGGACCGCCCTCTCTCGCTAAGACGGGAAGCAGGGACCGCCCTCTCGCGTTAAGACGGGAAGCAGGGACCGCCATCTCTCGCTAAGACGGGAAGCAGGACCGCCCTCTCTCGCTAAGACGGGAAGCAGGGACCGCCCTCTCTCGCTAAGACGGGAAGCAGGACCGCCCTCTCTCGCTAAGACGGGAAGCAAGACTGGCCTCTCGCTAAGACGGGAAGCAGGGACCGGCCTCTCGCTAAGACGGGAAGCGGGACCGCCCTCTCGCTAGACGGGAAGCAGGGCCGCCCTCTCGCTAAGACGGGAAGCAGGACCGGCCTCTCGCTAAGACGGGAAGCAGGACCGGCCTCTCGCTAAGACGGGAAGCAGGACCGCCCTGTCTCGCTAAGACGGGAAAGCAGGACCGGCCCTCTCTCGCTAAGACGGGAAGCAGGACCGGCCTCTCTCGCTAAGACGGGAAGCAGGACCGGCCTCTCTCGCTAAGACGGGAAGCAGGACCGCCCTCTCTCGCTAAGACGGGAAGCAGGACCGCCTCTCTCTCGCTAGGACGGGAAAGCAGGACCGTCTCTCTCGCTAAGACGGGAAAGCAGGACCGCCCTCTCTCGCTAAGACGGGAAAGCAGGACCGCCCCTCTCTCGCTAAGACGGGAAAGCAGGACCGCCCTCTCTCGCTAAGACGGGAAGCAGGACCGCCCTCTCTCGCTAAGACGGGAAGCAGGGACCGCCCTCTCTCGCTAAGACGGGAAGCAGGACCGGCCCTCTCTCGCTAAGACGGGAAGCAGGACCGCCCTCTCTCGCTAAGACGGGAAGCAGGACCGCCCTGTCTCGCTAAGACGGGAAGCAGGACCGGCCTCTCTCGCTAAGACGGGAAGCAGGACCGGCCTCTCGCTAAGACGGGAACAGGACCGCCCTCTCTCGCTAAGACGGGAAGCAGGGACCGCCCTCTCTCGCTAAGACGGGAAGCGGGACCGCCCCTCTCTCGCTAAGACGGGAAGCAGGGACCGCCCTCTCTCGCTAAGACGGGAAGCGGGACCGCCCCTCTCTCGCTAAGACGGGAAGCAGGACCGCCCTCTCTCGCTAAGACGGGAAGCAGGACCGCCCCTCTCTCGCTAAGACGGGAAGCAGGACCGCCCTCTCTCGCTAAGACGGGAAGCAGGGACCGCCCTCTCTCGCTAAGACGGGAAGCGGGACCGCCACTCTCTCGCTAAGACGGGAAGCAGGGACCGCCCTCTCTCGCTAAGACGGGAAGCAGGACCGCCCTCTCTCGCTAAGACGGGAAGCAGGACCGGCCCTCTCGCTAAGACGGGAAGCAGGACCGCCCTCTCTCGCTAAGACGGGAAAGCAGGACCGGCCCTCTCTCGCTAAGACGGGAAGCAGGACCGGCCTCTCTCGCTAAGACGGGAAGCAGGACCGCCTCTCTCGCTAAGACGGGAAGCAGGGACCGCCCTCTCGCGTTAAGACGGAAGCAGGGACCGCCATCTCTCGCTAAGACGGGAAGCAGGACCCCTCTCTCGCTAAGACGGGAAGCAGGGACCGCCCTCTCTCGCTAAGACGGGAAGCAGGACCGGCCTCTCTCGCTAAGACGGGAAGCAAGACTGGCCTCTCGCTAAGACGGGAAGCAGGGACCGGCCTCTCGCTAAGACGGGAAGCGGGACCGCCCTCTCGCTAAGACGGGAAGCAGGGCCGCCCTCTCGCTAAGACGGGAAGCAGGACCGGCCTCTCGCTAAGACGGGAAGCAGGACCGGCCCTCTCGCTAAGACGGGAAGCAGGACCGCCCTCTCTCGCTAAGACGGGAAAGCAGGACCGGCCCTCTCTCGCTAAGACGGGAAGCAGGACCGGCCTCTCGCTAAGACGGGAAGCAGGACCGGCCTCTCTCGCTAAGACGGGAAGCAGGACCGCCCTCTCTCGCTAAGACGGGAAGCAGGACCGCCTCTCTCTCGCTAGGACGGGAAAGCAGGACCGTCCTCTCTCGCTAAG